CCGCCGCCGTGCTGCCGGCTCCCACTCCCTCCTTCTGGCCCTTCCTTCTCTCCACAGCCTTCCCATTTCTCGCGTGGAGGTAGCAACTGCTCTTTTTTCCTTTATCCCCCCTCTCCTTGCTGATCTTCCCCACCTCTTTGCCCCCACGGCCATGTGTTTCCCTGTTTGCCCTCCTCAGCTAAGGCCCTACCCTCCAAGGTGTCCTAATCCCACATTGAGCTCTCTTTGAAGTGCTGTCACAGATCCATTATGTCTGCAGGCTCCAGACTGTATTCCACCAATGTCTCCAGTTGGGTTGCTTACCCTCAGGTCTCCTCTTCCAGGAGGTAGCGCTACCTATAGAAATAATTTCTGCCCAACGCCCGTTCCATGCGTAATGGGCATTCCTCAGTTCTTGCATCCCATCAGCCTTGCCGCTACATCTCAGTCCTGCTTCTCCACAGCCTTTGTCGCAACGTTAATCATGTCCTTCCCTTTAAATGTACAGAAAACCTACTGGTTTTATCCTGCCTAGACTGTAAATGCTTGGGGTCATGTACTTGCACATCTCCTACCACAGCGAGGAGTTTCAACAGACCATGGATGGTGGTCATATGCTATCAATGTTAAATCAGTGATGAAATCCGTTTCCTTAATAAAGTAACAAAGTTCAAACAGCTTAATAGATGAGGTTGGCCAGAGCCCAATTCTGAGCATCCCCCTAGGGATGCTATACACTTAATTTTTGTTATACGTATCTCTAGCCTTGGACGCTGTTGGTGAAGTGCCAAAAAATCCAGTCTTGTGCATCATAAAGAAACAAACGGAAAAACAAGTAGTAATACCAGAGATTTATCTCTGCATTACCTCTGTTAGCTCAGGCATTCATGAACTGAAATGCGTATTACAACAAAAAAGGAATGGAATATATTGTGTAGATAGTCACAGCAGAAGCTATTTGTATGCTTTTAAAGCATGTCAGCACAGCTTTCAGTGAGAACAACAAGAGGTTCGAAGAAACAGGAGCAAAGTTCAATCAGTTGATGGAAAATGCAAGAAGCACTTATTAAACTCAAACCCTCCAGAAGTACTCTGGGTTGGGTTTTATCACAGTGCCTCCATTTCTAGGTTTAATATAACTTTTAAAGACATGAAACCTCTTAAAATAATGTGAACATAAATGTAAAGAAGGAAGCATTCTGATCCAAATACATTTTTTAGTGTCGTGGGTGAGATCTGAATAAGACATAGAGCTGCATCCCTCCAAAAGATTGATGCCAGTGAGAACTGGCTCAGATTATTTTATGTTTTTCATCATTTACAATATTATTTAGGTCCCTTTAGGCAGACAATTTGGTCCCTTGAAGAATTACAAGGTTAGTAAATAAAGCATAAGAGTGGGCTAGGAGAGCTCCTGCAATTTTCACAAGAGCTGTACAATCTGCCAGGTTCTTCTCCCCTTTTTCCTGACCCCTGGCTGGGAGCAGGGTCTGCAGTGTCGCCACACGCTTGTTTCTTACCCAAAATGGTCATATTACCCCATTTTCCCCATAGATCCTGAATTATGTGTGAGAGGGCTTACGACAATTTAAATGCAAGGAAGACTGTGAGACATTTGGATGCCTTGATAACAAGGAATATAAAATATCACAGATACACAAACTGAAAAGTAGTTCCCTCAGCATTTCAAATGCAGAACTGACTACCTAGGAACATAGAAATCCTTTCTCCAGTGTCACCAGTTTCTGGGTGAAATCTCAGCTGTCACTCCTGAAGGAGATTACAACAGAAGAAATCCTGTATTTTCACCAGAGGGGCAGAGAGCAGGTATATCTGGATTAGGGTTTTATGTTTAGTGATATAGTTTGAGATTAGCATACCCTTCACAAGAAAAGTATTCATGTTTGACTCATTCTGCAAACATCAGGGGCAAACAGAATTTTTGCAGTGAATCACAAAATAACATTGTCTTGAAGTACAAAGCGCTAGCGAGGCCCATCTCCTCTCCACTGACTTGGGTTGGGTGCACCTGCCCTTTAGCCTCAGTGATCTCAAACTCAGGCACCTACTGAAAGGCAATTATAGCTACTCTGAGGTAGCTAATGGAAAGCAAAAGCATGCCCAGAGCATGATATATCCCGTTGCAAAATAGTACCTTCAGGTTTCTGGAGAAGCTCACCTCGTTCCCTTGTCTATAAGGAGAATGCAGACAACTCCCTTCATCTCATCACTGAATTTTTAGGTAGCTAATGTGAGGCGAGAAGAATCCCCTCCTCACTGATTGACCATAGCAGAGAGATCACACAGTTCTAAAAACAGCAATACAGAAGGGATGATGTTAAACCGAGGACATGGCTCTTACCCCAGGTATTTTTGAATATGTCTGACTACAAACATGGAAGAACACACACTAGGTGTAGATCAGCTTTCTACCATGGCACATTATTTCATTACCGCTCCAGTTTTGTCAGAAGGAGGTAAGGATTTCTGGTCTTGTTGAATTCAGCAAACTCTCCTGCATCATCTCACATAACCACTGCATGCAATCACCATCGTTACTTGGTGCCTGCAATCAGCTCTCTAACATGCGATCTCATATTCTGTGACTATTTCAGGTGAGCTCGGTGCATCTTGCCCACTCCGAGGTGCGAGCAATCATACACTGGCACATCTATACGTTACATTTCCATTTCATCCATTGGTATTCCAAATACTAAGAAATCAAAATCTGATGATCATAAATGTTATGGATTATAGGGTGATCTAGACAAAAAGAAAAAAAAATATCAAGGTTTCTTACTATGCCTGAAGTTGATAAGTCATTTTAAGAACAAAATACATTTTCCTATTATTCCTCAGCAGACTGAATTTGCTAGACTGGTCATAGAGGACCTCAATTAAAGTGAGTTATAAAACAATCAATAAAAATAAATCAATTAAATACAAAAGGGTATGTTCTGGGTCAGGATGAAGAACAAAACTGATAAGGAGCTCAGCTATCTGCCCTTTCTTCTGACCCCAGAAGTCTCCAAAATGGTCTCATTCAGTTTTAATTTCCCTTCCAGTTTTTCTCACTCCAAGCAGGGAATCACATGCTCATGTCACAGGGATTTTCTGTGGTATGCCTATGCTGGTTTTGACTGGGGTGAAGTTAATTTTCTTCATAGTAGCTAGTACAGGACAATGTCTTCCATTTGTGCTGGAGACAGTGTAGATAACACAGAGATGTTTTAGCGAGCAGGCTGGGGGTGCACAAGAGGCTGTGAGGGGTCACAGATGGGACAGTTGACCCCAAATGACCAAAGGCATATTCCATACCATATGATGGCATGCTCAGCAAGAAAAGCTAGGGGAAGAAGAAGAAAGGGGCAGATGTTCGAAATTATGGCATTTGTCTTTCCAGGTAACCATGATGTGTGATGG